AAGTGCTTTACACTTACAGCCACCCATTCACACTGATGATGGTAAGCTACATTGTAGCCACAGCTGCATTGTARCCACACTGCGGACCCTCTGACCACCATCAGTRRGCAAAATGGGTGAAATGTCTTGCCCAAGGAAACAATGACTGAGACMGCTGGAACGTAYCAGGTGCTTRTCCAGAATGTACCAGGAATATACCTGGATTTTTTCCAGTATGTACCAGAAACTTACACAAGAATGTACCTAGTATGTMCCAGGAAATTACCCAGATATATCCTGTATGTACTAGAAACTTACCTTGAATATACAAGGAACTCACCCAGATTATGTACCAGGAACTTACACTGTACCCAGTATGTACCAGGAACGTATTCACACTGTACCCAGTATGTACCAGGAATGTACTCAGACTGTATGTACCAGGAACTTATTGGGTAAGTAACTAACCAACCACAAACTCATTCCAAGAAAGTAGCTGGCTGCATTACAAATTTCTTTAGCAGGTTTTTTTTCTTTTATCTGTGTGACTAAGCATGATGGCATATTGTACAGTTTGTGCTTTAAAAAAATTAGTGAAGGATCAAAGATGAAATGTCAGGCATAAAAACAACTCTAACAGATGGATGCATCTGTAGAGCAGCAGGTAGATAGATTAGCGGAACTAATATTGGACTGTAATTTGATGCATGGCATGCATGTTTGCAACAACACAAGATGCACAGCAGTCAGCTGAGTTCCATTTTAAATGGCCCCTGCTTATCTGGCAGCGAAACCCAACCTGAAATACATTCACTGTGTGCCTGAAAAAAAAGTCCCATAATCCTTTAAGCCAATTATTATGGGATACAGAGAGATGAAGGACAGAAGTCAAACACAGTCGCATGAGTTGTCCCAGGAAATATTGTGAGGGTGTGGAGCTTTTTCTTATTTGCTCTGCATGATTCAACACTCCAAGAAGGATTAGAATGACACATAGAGACAGAGTTACAGCAGTGGAGCTACAGACGACTGAGGTTTCCTCTCACATGCCATCTTTTGGAAAAAAAAATACCAAATGAAATTAAGTAAATGAATTAAGTCTGATGGTTGGAGGTGAATCAATCAATCACCTTTATTTAACCAGGTAGAGCCCGTTGAGATCGAGATCTCTTTTACAAGGGTGACCTGGTCAAGTGGTCATCAGCACACGTCACATAGTAATTGACAAAGCATTTGCACTGATCAAAATGAAATAAGGAAAAAAAAGAAAACTACAATCACAAGAAATAGATGTTGACAGTTCAGAAATATCTGGATAAGAAAGAATTCTGTAGGTATTTGCAATATTTGGTAGACCTGAAAAGAAATTTAGGTGAGAAAGATATCAATGAATAAAGGCAGACAGACATCGTTTGAGTAGATACAGTTAAAAAAAAGTGACAGAGACATGTATAATGGATAGGTAATGTTTAGAAACATCTGCAACGGTTAAGTTTCTTGATGACGTTATCTATTACGG